TATATATATATATATATATATATATATATATATATATATATGCGGGTAAGAATACGAAAATTAATGGTTATTCCGCATTCAAACTAAATTTAATCAGAAAATCAAAAACTCTTCTGTATTCCTACTCAATTTTTTTGGCTAGTCGTTTAATAGGATCAAATATAGTTGGGTATAATAGAAAATTATGATCAATCAAAAATTTGAACACCTTAAAGAGAAGTAACAAAAAAAATCTCGAAGTTGATGGGATTGAAAATTACAATCAAACTTGTAACATGTGGAGTCCAAAAGTTTTTTGTATTTTTAGTCAAATTTTTTGACTAATCGTTTAATATGGTCGAATATAATCAGATAGAGTAAAAAATTATGAGTAATAAAAAATTTATACACGTTAAAAGGAAGGAACAAATGAAATCTCTAAGTTGATGGGATTGAAAATGACAATCAAACTTGTAACATGTGGAGTCCATAAAAAGTCAAAAGTCTCACTTCCTTTAAATCCTCTCTGCCACATGCACAAAGCACTGTGATTCAACTAGAATCAACCGAAAAATTTGGTCCACCAACCAATGTCTCCCTCTCCTCTCCCCCAACCCTCTCTACTAAAGTTTGTGGTTGTGTGGTCAAATGCAAATTGATATAATGGAGTACAAAATGCTCTTGAATAGGTTGCATAGTTAATGCCATGTGCTAAAATCTATGACATTGGAGATAGTGGGATTGTCAAAAGCTTCATACGTAACTGATCATCAACTTGGTAGACATTCTCTACCCATTAAGCTTTCCTATAACTTTCAAAAAATTAAAAAAAAAAAAAAAGAAGTGGAATATTATCATTTTTATTGGTGTTGAGTATATCTTTTGAAGCTTCTACTCTTGTACCATTTTATTTTTTTAATGCAAAATGCTATATGTATTCTTCCAATGAAAGGCTTCTCATTATTATAGATCGTGATTGATTTCTCAAAAAGTATTGGCGATGCTAATATGTGGAATAAAACGTTAATAATGACATTCCACTAGTTGGAATATAATATTGCACAAGGGTAAGTTTACGAGATATGGAGGATACCCAATTAGAGCAATGATATTTGGACGTCATTTGAGGGGCTAAGGCATTGCTACCATTGAATTATTTTGGATTCTAGTTTTATATCTAATTTGGAGATTTAATATACGACTATCTTTGAACTAGGATTCAACATAAATTCAACAGCATGACTCTACTCTGAGTTATCTTTCAAGCACCAACATAAACTAATTAAGGCATCCTTTGATCATAATAGCTTACCACATACTGAAAAAAGAAGAGAGGCTAACATGATCTAATAGATTTAAATAAACATATTTTAACATTTTTTGTTTTAGAGGGAGAACACAAAGCCTAATGATGTAGTATTCTAGTTAACAACACCAATGGGAATATATCAACGTGAACGAATAGCCCAATGGTGTAGGATTTGTCTAAGGGAGTCGTAAAAGAAAACCAAAAATCCAAGCAAATCCANCCTTACCAAGGTCAGAAAGAATTGAAGTACCCTTCTGAAGGTTTCAATTTGATGCAGAACAACAGTTCGGAATTACTATATCTTTATTTTTATTTATTTTATTTTTATTATTTAGTTGGAATAGACTTTAATTAGGAATATTTTTTATTGATTTGCCGTCTAAATCATGCATTTTTTTCCCTTTTTGGTAACTATACTAGAATTAAGGATTTATTTCCATTTTGAAAACCTTAGAATTTGAGGTTTTCCTATAAAATATTACTACAATTCTATTCGATTAATCAAGGGAATATTATAATATTTTGAGAGGTTTCACTTTTTTTTCTCTAATTTTTTGCATTTGGAGACGGTGATCTCTTTGTATTTCCTTATTATCCGCTTCGTCAATTGGTATTAGAGCATTTTGTTCTTTACACAACAGTGATCGGTGATCTCTTTGTGCTCCTTTGTTATCTGATGAGTCACATTTTCTGATTGTTTTCTTCAAAATGACACTGGTGGGTGTACTAACAAGTAACCCAAAGGTGAGCAGACCATTGCAGGTCATGAATGCAATAGTTTTACTGTGGAACCCTAAAAGATTATGATCTGCTCAGCTAAAGATCCATTTGTGACTGGTGTATGGGGACCACCTTGAACCCGAATTCGTCTTGGGAGGAATTTATAATATAAAATAAAATAGGTTTCAATAAATTCATTTGACAGTCTCAATTAGACTTATTCAACGACCACCAGCATCCCTTTCAAAATTATTCACATTGTACCATTCCTTAGGCACGAATTACCCTAGTATTGGTTATTTCAAGTTGTGATAGTCTATTAATTTTTAATAGAATAGGTGAGATTGAGCAATTTTTGTATATTTCTCTATACGTATCTGTTGAGACTTATCTTGTGTTGTCATGCTCATCAATTGCGCTGTCACCAAAATGTTTAATATCATCAAAATAATTAACAAACTCATCAATTGCGTTGTCATGCTCATAACAAGAAACAGAGTGATTCTGTGAAGTTTATTTTATCCTTGTAATGGGCGAGACGATAGTGGAGTAATTTTTTGAAGTTCGTCTTATCTCGTAACAAGTGAAGTGATCTCGCGAGACTGACGATGTGCCCCTAATGACTGTATCCCCACAAATTTCTTCTCATCGTATGAGATTCCCACGTGCATTGATGATAAGTTGAGTCTCTCAAGAAGGAGGACTTGACTCAATTAAAATTCCTTGATCCTTAGGTGGACTTAGCCTATATATTTGAACTGAACCTAGTTTGTATCTTTGATTTGGGTCTGATCTGGGTCGGGCCCATCACCAAGAACTATATAATTGCCTCTTTCATTCTTTTTTTTTTTTTGGTTCAATAATTAGAGATGTTCAAGTCTACTTAAACGCAACTTGATTAGTCTTTTTTCCAGTTAGATCAAAGACAAACCATTCATACTGAGATTAAGGTATTAATGAAGGATAAATCCCTTATGGCCTAACCCCAAAAGGTAAACAAGATTGAAACTTAGGAGGTTTAAATTTACTGTTCGTTCATATTACCACTTGAATTTTCTTCGGTTCTGATTAACGTTTTTCATTTTCATTTAAATGAGAGAAATTTTATTAAGATTAATCATTATATAAATTTCACTATAATTAATCATTAGTTTGACTCATTTAATGATTAATTTCAACCAAAATGGTTGATTAAAGTAAATTATATAATTTAGAAGTAAATTGAGATTATTAAAAATTTAAGAAACAATTTAAAACAAAAAATATAAAATTTATTATTTAATCATTTAAACCCTAATATTTAAAATATTAAAACCTTGAAATTTATACACATGACCTGTCATAATATCAAGCAATCAAATATCTCTTACACACACAAATTAATTATCCAAGAAAAACAATAAAGATGAAACGAGAAAGACATGGAAACTTGACGTGAAAGGCATGCGGCAAAACAATGGATTCTTCTTGCAAAACTTCTGCCGAAAATATTTTCAACAACAATTAACAAAGACTTTTTAAAGCAAGCAACAAAATTAATTCTAATCATATTCTATATTTAACAAAATAGACCTAAGCTAATTAGAATACTCTATGGATCAAAACTCTTAAACCCATTAAAGTTCTACTAGTAAACTAATATCAAATAAATAAAGAATAAAATACTTGAAGAGTTTGGGTCAAACTCCAATAGCTATCTTAATCATCTCCATTATTCGCTATTTCATGGATGCATCTAATTTAAGTGATTTAGAAAAAATATTTGTAATTTGATCCTCGAATCGACAATACAAAATTTCAATCTTGCCATCAATGTCCGTTAATATATCAATTAGTAAATTATATTCAGATCCCCTGAAGTTTATAGGTGTATAATACTTAAACCTTTCAAGTTTAAAATATTACATTTAGACCAAAAATATTCTAATTAAATATAGAATATCAAATATTTTAAATTTTATATCTAAAATTCATGTTATATTATGTTATTTATTAAAATAAAATTAAAAATAAAAATATAATTTTTTCTTAAAAAATTATAATTAGTATTACTATGCCAAAATTTGGACAAACATAGTTTCGATCACCTGAAAAAGAAGTCGAAAATTGGAGATCGACTTTCCAATGTCTAAGTCAATAAGTGACTCAAAGGTATGAANCTTGGTTTCGATCACCTGAAAAAGAAGTCAAAAATTGGAGATCGACTTTCCAATGTCTAAGTCAATAAGTGACTCAAAGGTATGAACACATAGTAATTAGTATAAATATATCAAATAACTTAATTCAACACTTTTTTGTGTACAATTATACCATTGGAATAAAATTAAAAATATCAAACAAGGGGTCAAATNAACACATAGTAATCAGTATAAATATATCAAATAACTTAATTCAACACTTTTTTGTGTACAATTATACCATTGGAATAAAATTAAAAATATCAAACAAGGGGTCAAATTATAATAATCACAATATCTTCTATCTTTAATTAGTATAATTTAATAAATCTTGTTATTTGGGGTCTAAGTGAAATATTTTAATCTTCAATACGCTTATAATCTTCGTATAATTGACTAATAGAACATTAACGGCTGGGAGTAGGTATAATAATTTTTTTTTTAATGAGATTTACCCTATATTTATTCAGTAGTGTGAAATTTGGGAGTCGCCGCCGAGTCTCTCTCTTTCTCTCTGGACAGAACAGTTACAGTCTCCATATTTCAGAGTCACACAGGCACGTGCGTACTTGTGGTTTCATTGGGAGAGAAAGAGAGCATCGTGACTTTGCTAGAAAATGGAAGAACCAGTTGAGGTGGAATTGAACGTAAATGCACCAATTGCCGAAGAATCGAGTCGAAAAAAGGGGAAGAAAGATGGGAAAAATTCGGCGAAAAAGAAAACTTCGCAAGGAAGGACGTCCAAGAAGCAGGAAAATCCAATTGCTGGGGACCGAGAGAGTTCGCCGGGTGCTGTGGAGAATAGTAAAGATGAATCGCAGGGGATCACGGTTTCATTGTTTGATTATTCTGTTGAGAATCACTTTAGGGCTGTTGATTTGATTTCTATGCTCTGTGGAGAGTCAGAGTTTGACAGTTTTGATGAAGGAGAAGAGATTGAGCGATTGTCCTCTTCAATCACGTTCTTGAGGTAAATTCATCCATATGTATAGGTTTATATTTTTGATGTGTATGTGTTTGTGATGCATTTGTTTATGTTTTGAAATTTATGTTCGTTACATTTTGAATAGACCTATGCTGTGTATGTGTTTGTGGATGTAATTGTGTATGTTTTGGGATTTATGTTCTTTGTGGATGTAATTGTGTATGTTTTGGAATTTATGTTCTTTATATTCCGAATAGACATTGTGTATGTTTTGGGATTTATGTTCTTTACATTCTGAATAGACCTATTCAAGCTTAGTTAGTTGAAGTTTAGGTTGGATTGGAGTTTCCAGGTGGGTCTTACTACTCATCTTTGAATTTTTCGGTTCGTAGTATCCTTGGTTGAGATTTGAGATTGAGCTTCTTAGCTCTTGCAAATTCTGGAGCTTATTTGTTGACGTAAACGGATAATTGTTTCTTGTTTGGAATCTAAACTCCAACCTTTACTTGTGCAATTTGTTGATAGAACTTGTCGCAAGAGCTTATTGTTTGCTTCGTTATATTGACTTAACATCATGGTTCAACTCTTCTTCCCTAGTATTTTTGCTCTGATTAATTTCTTAAAGAACAATGCTACACTTACCAGAATGTTTTCCAAATTTTGCTTATCAAATCGGGGATTGTTGGATCAGTGGATTCCATACTCTTTTTTTGAGCAGGACTCACTGATCCAACCATCCATGATTCCATGTAACAACTTTTGGTAAATGTTTTGGTATGCACATCATTATAGTTTCTTAAATTACCTTCCTATGACGCTGGATTCCCGGGCCCAACTAGATAGTTTAATAGGCTTGCTGATGTTGCTCATGCATTTGGTATGTTGAACCATTGGACTTGATGTTAAAGGCTGNTAGTTTCTTAAATTACCTTCCTATGACGCTGGATTCCCGGGCTCAACTAGCTAGTTTAATAGGCTTCCTGATGTTGCTCATGCATTTGGTATGTTGAACCATTGGACTTGATGTTAAAGGCTGACTTTGTTTTTTCAAATTGAGGAACGTAATTTCCAACTATTTGAGACCTAATTCTTCGCAACTAGCTTTTTGTGTTTGAGCAACCTAATGAGAAGTTCTATAAGGAGCATTTTNTGACTTTGTTTTTTCAAATTGAGGAACGTAATTTCCAACTATTTGAGACCTAATTCTTCGCAACTAGCTTTTTGTGTTTGAGCAACCTAATGAGAAGTTCTATAAGGAGCATTTTATGCAAGTAATGGTAATAAAAGCATCTTCCCTGCTTATGCTTGTGCAGATTGTTTTTCATTTTCATTCCATTACTTTCCTCTCAGTAGCTGGCTCTTTTTGCTTATTTATAAAGTTTTACATTCTAAAATTTGTTATAGCCATATTAAAACTAGAGTCATGCATGTGTACAGAGAATGGAGGCATTTCAATTACCAATCAAGAATCATTAGGTTTGCTTGCCAAACTGAAAGTCCTCATGGAAAAGATGTTATCGGTGGGATAAACTTACCTCAATTTTCAGCTGCAACGGTTCCTATGGTACGGGATAAGATTTATTGGTAAAAGTAAACGATTTGGATTGTTTCAAGTTTACTCCCTCCAGTATAGAATATTTCCTGAAGAAGTTTTCACAAAAAAATGGAGATTGCTTGCCTGTCTTGATTGTTTAACTTGCACTCTGATGCAGAAGGACAGACAAAACAGGAGCATATTATCTCCGGAATCCAGGTAAATTATGCTTTTCGGGTCAAATTGAAAATGGTTGCTACAACCTTTCCTTGATCTGCTCCATCCATTATATTTGAATGGTACATCATTAAAAAGAACCTACAAATCCCTCCTTCATTATTTCTATTTTCTTTTCTCTTTCTCTTTTCCCTGCAATAAAAAATAATGATGGATGTTATCTATGAAATCATGATAAATCTAATTTTGCTCATGTTAGTGTGTGGTCAAATGGAGAAGGGTATTAAAACTTGGAGTGAAAATGAAAGGAGAATGTAACTTGGAGTGAAAATAAAAGGAGAATGTAACTTCTGAAATGATCCATGCAGTCCAAATCATTCTTACAAAGAATGCACCATTGTGGTTGAAGAGAAAAAGATGGCCAAATAGTATTTTGTTTCTTAAGTGCAATCAACCATGCAAACACTTGGGTGGTTTGGTTGAAAAGAAATAAGCAGATTTTTCAAGAAAAAAAAGTTACTTGGGAAGAGCTTTGGGATAAAATTTCCTTCATTGCATCTCTGTAAGTGTCAATTTCCAAGGATTTTGAGGGGACTCATTTATTTTTAATTAAAGACCATTTGCCTCAAGAGTGTTAGTAGTGGAGCCGTTTGTTTTCTTGACTTTTTATGGTGTCTTTGGTTTGCTGTTGTTGTGTTGGCTTTCTTTTCATTTTTTCTCTTAGTTTTTATTAGTTGTTGCATACGTGCGTTGCGCGTGAAATATTTTGAATTATTAGTTTTATTTTGAATATTTATTTGTATGATTTTGTTTTATTTGTTCAACATTAGAGCATTTGAATACATGGTGATTATCATATTCAACATGCTTTGCTTTTAAATGACTGACAAATGAAGATGCAAAACTATTGTAAATACATCTGAACATTTGTAACAAACAAAAAAAATTTCAACTATTCTTTTCAATACAACCACCAAATCTAATACAAAGCTAAATCTATAAAGAAGCAAAATAATTCTTAATGTTAAAAATTTGCATCACTTGTGACAATGGTGTGCACAGTTCAAAGAAGTGTGAGTGGAGTGAAGGCTAGAAAAATAATTACAG